GGGGGGGGGACCAAAAACAAAAAAACTGCCTCCCCTGCACTCATTACACTATGAACTACTAATCCACCAATCCAGACACATAAAAGGTTTCAACAGATTTCCAAGCCCAACTTCCTGACTGGATGAAACTGAAAAATAAACATCATTGAATGGAACTCAGATTTGACAAATGTCCTACTTCCTGTTAGATCTGGCAAAGAAATTTGGAGCCAATCACAGCTGATTAGTTGGTATACACAAAGAATCCCGAAGCACAGAACCTAAGAGTCAGTTGCTGTTTTTCAGGTTACAAGGGTTTGAAGGGACTATTAAATGAACCAATAAATCCCTGTGAGAGAACAAAATAAAGGTATGTAACACCAGCTGGAGAACACCTTGTAAGTGAGAGGTCCCGAAGAATGTATTTAACTAAGCAGCATGTTGCAGCACAGACACAAAATTGGAGATGTTGATGACTATGACAATGGAACGGTGATGTGATAGTCAATGCTTATATCGTATTTACTATCTGCTAGGCACTATTCTCAGCACCTTACACAGGTTTACTAATTTAGTTACCACAATACCTATGAGATGGGTACCATTTTTATCTTCATTTTAGATAATGAGGAAACTGATGAACAGACAGACTTAACAATGTGCCCAGTCATAGAAATGGCAGAATCCAGAGGATTTAAACCCAGGCGGTCAGGATCTAGAGTCACAGTACCCAACCATCATGCTAAAGGTCTCTCTACAGAGTTTTCTTTGACGCTTTTCTGTGTTGCCATCAAAAGATGTAAAAGATATTCAAAGGTAGCTGCCATCGGCCCCCAAGCAGAGAGAGGTCAAACACCAGACAAACCAAGGGATCCAATCATCTGACAGGTCCACACATCTAGTAGCCGCTGAGGGAAAGCCTGAAAGCCCAAACTAAATGGAAGGTGGACTTTCCAAAGGAAGCCCTGATCCCTTTATGACTCTGCAGATGCTCTATTCACTCCTGGGAAGGACCAACAATGAGATCCTCTCACTGGCACTCAGTTCAACAACAACCCCATTAAGACAAAATGTTTCAGAGGAACTTCAGGTTAATGCGCTCACTCTGCAAGCAAAAGTCCAAACACACCTGCAAGGCACCTCTCAAACAGTAACCTCTCCAGATTACCAGAAATGAAGAGATGACAGTTCTAAGGTCTATGAATGCTGGTCATTAAGGGTGGTCTTACCTGTTTGAGAGAGTCACTTACAATTAACAATGATGAGCTCTTTTCAAAAAGTAGTTATTGATGAAATCCACCACCTCTACTTTTCTCAGCACTTTTCCCACCACAGCTAGTTCTTATCTCGTTCCCTTTCTCATATAATCCTTGAGAGTTCCACTCACCCAAAAACTCCTGCCTTTTAGACACCTGAACATCCTACCCTTTTCCACACAGTGCACATTTTGTAGAGCAAAAGTAACAGAGGACAATACTCACCAAACCATTTAATATTTGGCTCCACTCTCGCCACTGTGCCAGAAGCCACCGTTGATTGATACTGCAGAGGCTTAATCACTTTACCACGGCTGTTCCTAAATTGAGGAAATTAACGAACTTTGGTTGAGTACAGAAGAAAGGCAGCAGCAAAGTTTGGTTTACAGAACACCCTTTCCATCAAAAGGATCTTTTCTTTTCTTTTCTTTCTTTGTTTTAAATGATCATGAAATACAGATTTCAGTAAACAAAAAGTACTTCTACATTTGAAACAGATTGCCCAAAAGCCATTTATCCTCTTGCAACAGAGCACGTAATGATTTCTGCTAGATGAATAACAAATAATGCCAATGTTTAAAAATCTGTTTACTGTTTCTTGCTTAAAAAAAAAAAAAATGACATACTTGAGTTTTTTAGGTAATTATTTGAAGGCTGCTTTAAATGAATTTTAAGTAGAGGGTGATTTATGCTGGAACTCAAAATTCTAAAACAAACTACAGAGTAGGTGACTACGGCAGATTAAGTTCATTGACATTTGTGTTTTAGACACATCTTTTAGAACCAATGAAGACTCTAATTACCAAACAAATTAAGACCAGCTAGTGAAACACCACACTCAGCAAGTCCCTGCGGTAGAGGCTGCCTCAGCAGAACTCAGAGTTGGGATGAGTTTTCAAGTGCCACAATGTTGTGATTGGAAGTTTGGCATTAAAAAACAAGTTCTCTGGCTGCTTTTATGACGACAGACCTATATGCTTTGTTAAAGTAAAACCAGATCTCTACCTGACAGATATTTAACTTGAGATTTAAGATGCCACTTGCGGAGGCCAAGGCTGTGAGGAACAAGACCTCTAACCGTTGTAGAGTATTGTGACACAATCCCAATTCACCACCCACTACCCTCATCTTGAACCAAAAATTCACAATTTATTATAACAATATCCCTATAAAATGATATATAAAAATACGCCATGCCTATTTGGAAAGTGTGGGTGGGAATATCAAAGGTTTAATGGGTCTCAGCTACAAGTCAAGGGAATGGAGGAAAGAGGGAAGGATGACAGTGCCCGATGCTCACCTGCGCTCCTTCTGCCTGTACATATTCAGGCGTCGGATTGTGGCCCGGTCCCTCATGTTTTGGCCTCCTGCTCCCTGTACTCGATCTAGGAAACACAGTAGATTGCACACTATTTGATAACCAAGTCTAAGTATGAACACTGCTTCAAATACACCAATTAGTTCACTCAGAGTAGGCAGGCTGACACCTCACTGCAAAATCTCTACGTTCTCCATATGTTGTTCCAACGTTACTGTTATTGGAAGCTACATGGTATGACAAAGCTAACCTAATCTCTGATCTGCAGTAGCACTGTACTTGGTAATAATAATAATAGCTAATATGTTCTAGCATTAATTATGGCACTGTGCTATCCACATCACAGGCATTGTCTCATGTAATCCACACAATAATCCTATAAAGATGGACCCATTATCCCCATTCTGCAGGCTAAGAAACTGATGCAGTGGTCAAATACCTTGCCCAAGGTCACACAGCTACTAAATGGCAAAGCTACAATTTGAACAAAAGCATTTGATCACCATCTGTGCTCTTAACTTCTAAGACAACTACCTCTGGGTCTCAGTTTAACAAAAATCGAGTGTCTGCTACATGCAAGGCACCATGGAGACTCTAATTTTGAAACAGTTGTTTCTAAGGTACCAGTTTCCTAACTTTCTGATGTTTGATTTTAGTTTGAGCAACAGCTAGTAATTCTTGCCTTATGTCTGAGAGAAAAACAGGACAAATAAGCATGGTAATACTAGCCTTGTTTCTCATTTTGGGATCCCTTCAAATCACCTGTCTACTCCTGAAGCGATACAGTAGAAAACAGCCTAAAATCACAGGACTGGCAGCCCTATTGCTCACTAACTATCCCAATTGTGACAAGCCACTTCCCCTATTTTGGCTCAGTATCTTCACCTATAACATCATGATCTCTGAAGGCCTTTTGGGGTCTCACATTCTAGGATTCCAGTCTGCCCAAATTGAATAATTTATCAGCAATCCAGAGAAAATGGTCAACATGAATTAGAGTAATCAAACACTAAGTCATATATAAAAACAAAGTTTTCTTAACTAAACGTGAAGAGAAGGGGCTCCCCCAAAGTCTATCTTGTTCATCCTATAGGTGGAACCTCCACAAAACTCATACACATCTTCAAAAACATCTTTATTTATCTGTAGGGTTTTCTCTGAGCTTTAGTATATGGGATGACTCCAAGAGCCAAATCTAAAATCCCTTTCTCATTTAAACGGTCAAAGCTTAGGTGGCAGGCAAGTGTGGTGAAATATAAAAGGCCAGCAGAGCTGGGCTACACCACTTTCAATCTGACTTTTATCTAATTTACTTCCGGAAATTCCTTCAGCTGGGAATGTGGAATCACACAAGACTGAAACGTACTGCGGGAGAAGCTTCAACACCTGATCCACACAGAACACAAGAAGAGGTCAAGTTTAACTGCCCCTTCCAACCCTGAGCTTCCCGGTTTCTGCATCTCACAACTGGAGTCGCCCCGCGGCTGCCAGGCCCGAGCGCTCCCTTTCCCCGCCTTTAGACCTGGTGCCTGACACACAGCCCTGACAGGCGTGCCAGACTTCGGCCCTCTTCAGAGCCTCCGAAAGAAACCACCTTCTCATTCCCCAATAGCCACTCAGCTCAAAGTCACTCCAGGCAACGCCACCCCGGTGCTCCCCCTCCCCCTCTGTCTCCGCGGAGCCCTCCCTTCAAGCTCCCTCCAAGCTCCACCCTCCGCGAGCCCCGCCGCCAGTACCCGGGTTTGTGCTTGACTTAGACGGGTTGATGGTGCTCCGTCCTTTGTACTTGGGCTTCACCATCTTGACGACGGGACGAGGACCGGAGTGCGAGGTTCGGCCTAGCGCAGGTACAGGAGCTCGTAACTTCCCAAACCCAGCCGGAGTGACCCGCGTGAACTACGCTAAACCGCGTGTGCAAGCGCTACGTCACTTCCGCTCGCGCCCCTTTTCCCTAGTGCGACTTCCTGCGAACGCGCTTAGTGCGCAGCCGCACTCCTGGCTCCACCCCCGCCCCGGCCGCTGAGACTGGGCCGGGCGCTGAGGCCCCGCCCCTCTCTCTCCCTAGCAACCGTCAAGCTGCCCCTCCATAGCAACCGCCTCGCTTCCGAGACCCAGAGCTCCTAGCTGGGTCTACCCCCAAGCACAAAAACCTCGCCCCAGGTCAATGGCACAAGCTTAAGTTTAATTATCTGAATTTGTCTTTTAAGCCCTTCAAAAAGTGACTGACCACACAGCCGCCAGATATCAATCAGATTTTGTCACCGTATCCTTAAAATTCCAGGCTCAGAATGAGACAGAGACAGAAATTCAAACTCCTTGTCATCCCTGCAGAATTCTGCATGATCTGCCCCCTGCCTATTTATCTGACTTCACCTGTGCCTTCCTCCCTCTCGTTATTCTGACATTTACACTGGATGAGCTCTCTGCCTGAATCACTCTTTCCCTGAGTCTTTGCTTAGTTCCTCCTGGTCATTCAGTTCTCAGCTCAATTGTCACCTATTGGTAGGGTCACAAGATTCACCAAGTAAAAATATGCCCAGTTAAATTTGAGTTTCAGATAATCAGTGAATAATTTTTAGTATAAATATGCTCCATGCATATTTTGGACATATGTATACTAAAAGAAATGTATTGTCTGAAATTCAAATTTACCTAGGCATCTTGTATTTTATCCGGCAATCCTTCATACGGGGAGAAGTCTTTCCTGTTTTTTAAAAAAGGAAACAACAGGCCAAAATGGAGTCACTTTTGCTAAGCTACGTCACCAAACCAAAACTTAATAACTAACCTAATTGCAGTTTCAGCCTTTCCCAGGAAAGAGATTTTAAACCAATCAATTTGGAATTTCCTGATCAACAACAGTGAAGCAATCTGCCTAAAATAATGCACTCTTAATTTCTTAGCCCCACTCTTTCTGCCTATAAAAACCTTCCATTTTGTATAAATCCTTGGAGTGCCCTTCGAGTTGCTAGATGGGATGCTACCTGATTGATAACTTAATAAAGTCGATTAGATCTTCAATTTGACTCGATTGAATTTTGTTCTTTAGCACTGTCCAATCTGTCTAAACCAGCCATCTCTCACCCTTCTGCGGTTATTTTGTTACATTATTCTGTTTTATTTACCTCATGGCACTTATTAGTAGCTGAAATTGTATTTTTACAAGTTTATCTGCTGCTTCCCCCAAACTAGAATGTAAACTTTTATTTAAAAAATTTTTAATCCTCATCTGAGGATTTTTTTCCCCATTGCTTTTCAGAGAGACTGGAAGGGAGATGGAGAGAGAGAGAGAGAGAGAGAGAGAGAAAGCAAGAGAGAGAGAAAGCGAGAGAGAGAAATCGATGTGAGAGAGGCACATGGATCGGTTGCCTCTCACAGCAACCGAGATACGTGCCCTTGTCAGAACCGAACCCAGAACCCTTCAGTCCACGGGCCAATGTTCTAACCACTGAGCAAAACCGGCCAGGGCTAGAAGGTAAACTTTTGAGAGCAGGGACCTTATAAATTTGTTCAGTGCTGTATCTCCAAAATTTGGAACAGCACTTGAAACAGTAAGGACTCAATTCACTGAATGAAGGAATGCACTGATGGTGTCTTAGCTCATCCTGCTTTAACAAAATATCATAGACTAGGTGGCTTAAACAACAGACATTTATTTTTACAGTTCTGGAGTCTGGGGAGCCCAAGATCAGGGTGCCAGCCTGACTGGGTTCCTGGTGAGAATTCTCTTCCTGGCTTCCAGATGGCTGGCTGTCTTCTCAGTGTCCTCACTTGTTACTCAGACAGGGAAGGCTCTTCCTCTTCTTAGAAGGGCACTAATCCCATCACGGGGGCTCCACCCTCATGACTTCATCTAAACCTAATTACCTCCTTCAGCCCCTCCTCCAAGTAATGTCACACTGGGGATAGAACTTCAATTTGCAAACTTAAAAGCGACACAAACATTTAGTTAATATTATAAGGGAATGCCTCTTGTCCTGAGGGGGAATGAAGGTGGTAAGACCCAACACTCTGTTTCTGCTAGTCACAATGAAGTATATAAATGCCAGTGTTTCAACCAAGAATCCCTCATTCCTTTTTTTTTGGCACCTCAAATTGCCAGGAAGTGCCTATCACTGTGCTTTCAGGATAGGCCAGAGAAGAGGTGGTTAGGCAGCAGGAAGGTGGATTCCAGTGTGTGATGAAGTGCATTCCGTGAAAACAAACAACTTAGTATAAAGTGAGTTACTCTAATTATGGGAGGAATGATTGAGTCTTTATTTCTCCGAGTTTGAACAAACAAACCCAAAAACATTCTTTCTAGAGCAAAAGAAGACCATGTCCTAGACAAGAGCGGGAAATACCTTCTCTCCCTCGAGACTCACTTTTATTGCCCCCAGGACAAGTATCATGAGATTAAACACAATTTTGCTACAAAGGCCTGACCCTAACATGGTGTCTCAGGGAGTCTCTGAGAGCTGATCAGAAACAACTTCTTGTCCAGTGAGAATCCAAAGATGTCCTCTTCTGCCTCTCAAGGTCCCTTTGATCCCCCAAATAAGGGTGCAGTAGCCCACTCCCAGAGAGAAGACCAGGATAATGTGTTTCTGATGCCTCAGTTTGGTTCAAACCAGAATAAACACGAATGGCAAAAATCAGCCCATGAGCTCATTCGGGCTTTGATCAGAGACATAATTTCATTATGAAATTTTGAATCAAGCTGTTGTGAAGTCTTGCCAAGGAGTTTCATTTTCCCAGATGATATGGTGGGTTGTTTCTCTCCTGTTCTCATACTCAGCTTGCATTTATCATACAAACTTTCCATCTATTTTCATAACCTGATCCATCAATCCTTCTACAACAGTTTTTGCTGATCCTGACAACAAACCTCAGTTCTACTAGCCAAAAATAAGCTTGATGAAGGTGGGTCAAGCTAAAGTTATTGGTTTGGTTTGCCTGCCCTGCTTACCGCAGTTGAAATACACTGACTATTTTTCATTCCGTGGTAGTAACTAGAGGAGGCAAGACACACCTTTAGGCCTTCTTGCTTAGCTTTAAAACAGACATATTAACTACCCTGAAAGATTGCTGTGTGATCATATGAATTACAGCATGTGAAAGCATTGTAGACATGGTACAGATGGGCTGTGCTCTCCTTTCCTCCTGACCCATGGTCAGCCCTCATTCCCTGGACTCCTGCTTCCAGGAACCACAGGTTGATCTGAGCGGGAAAACCCCAAAGGACTGCCTGGAAATGCCACTTTTCTGAAACAGCCTTGTGCCAAGTCCTGATAGAAAAGAATGGGCTGGTGTTTCCACGGAAAGCAGAGGACCTTGACCTTCCTTTCTTCGTCATCCTGTAAAACCTTTCTCATTAGGATCAATGGGCAAAGAGCTGCAGCTTTGAAAGTTGCATTTTTCAAAGTGTGGTCTGAGGATCACCAGCATCAGAATCACTTGGGGAGACCGGTTAAAAACGCAGACTCCTGGGCTTCACCCCAGAGCTACTGAACTCAGACCCTCTGAAGGTGGGGACCAGAGAATATACATTTTAAGGAGGTCCTCACATGCTTCTCGTATACACAAAACCTTAAGATCTGAAAAGCAAAGTCTTTCCCAAAAGTCACCTTGAGGCTTTGAGACCCGCTGCCCAGAAGGCAGCCCTAGTAAGACCCAGCTCCTTTCCCACCTCTCTTAGATCCTCTCGCTTCTCTCAGCAGAGCCAGGGCGAGGAAGGCTGCAGCAGTGTCTAATGCACTCTGAAAATATATGTCTTGGCTCTGCCCCAAATGCCTTGATATTTATGCTGCAGCTGGAGGGTCGTTATCCTCTGGCAATGCTCCACTGTAAGGCCATTAGCTCTTAATTAGTGCCAGCTTGTTGGTTTATCCTTCCCAGTTGAACTGAGAGCAGAGGCTCCTCGATGCAACCTCCTGTGTCTCTCCGGTAAGTCCATGAGGAATTGACCTCTGCCTGCTGGGGCCAAGAGTTGGGCCCCTGGAGTGGCTGCTGCTCAGTGTGAAACAGTTACTACCCCCCAAGCAGAGTCTTTGGGACCCTAGAAGGACAGGAAACCACTTGGAATATGTTTTCAGGGTTTTGTTGTTGTGTTTCATTTGTAGAAAACAGAAGAAGAGAGTCCTTGATCATACAACCTCAACAGTTTACAAGGGAATATAAGAAAAATAAGGTGCGTAGCCCTGGCTGGGTAGCTCAGTTGGTTAGAGCATTGGCCCCATACACCAAGGTTGCAGGTTCAATCCCCAGTCAGGGCACATACAAGAAGCAACCAATGAATGCATAAAAAAGTGGAACAACAAATCTCTCTCTTTCTCTCTCTCTCCCTCCCCCCTTCTTTTCTCTCTCTCTAAAATCAATCTAAAAAAGAAAAGAAAAGAGGTGCATTAAATTGGCGCTTTGTGGGCCAAATGGCTCTCAGTTTTCAGTCTAGGATGCCTGGGAAGTTTTTGCACAAGGATACAGCAGGCTGGTGGGATGGATGGCTATGAAAAATGGCTGAGGGACTTACCTCTGGGAACCCCAAGAAACTACTCTTCATGGATGATGTATCTGGTCACCACTTCTAAGTGGGAAAAACAGTCTTTATTGGTCTTGGCATCCATCTCATTGCTGGGTAAGGAGCTCTTCAAAAAGATTTCTAGATTAAGCTTTGGAAAAATAACTAGCAGCATTTTGCTCCTTCCTATCACTGAATCCCCGTGGTCCTCAGCATATTCCCCTTAAGAAAATCCGAGAAGCCATTTTTTTGAGATGCTATTAATGGCCTCTAATTTTCAGCCTGGTTTTGATAACTCAAGATTGCTGGCTGCATCCTAAGAAACGGATCCAGAACACACACCGATGTGGGAACTTAAAGTATAATTCCAAATTGTAGAAAATTGTTTAAGCTCCAAGGCTGCTGGAGGGCCCATATTAAGTCATCTCCCCAGGATCAGTGTGTTTCCTATTACACTTGATACCTA